TACAAATAAGTATATCAATGTTTGAAAATAGACTTTCTTGAAATCTAATTCAGCTTATCTTGTGAAAATGAATTATTTCAGATCTGGATGTTTTACTGAGACTTGACAGTTGCTTCGATTTTTTACTCCAAAAGTTCTTTAGTGAAAATTGGAATATATTATTGTAAAAACGCTTTGAGACATTAATTTCAAATTTCCAATGAAGTAAACAGTATTACAACTATTACAAGTGAATCTTAGCCTTCATCAGAGTGATCCAAACTAATTAATCATATAAAACTAATACATTTAATTTTGGATTTCGATCAAGATCTGATTAGAAAAGTTTATCAAATAGATTTTTTTTTAAAGAAGTAAGTACTTCAACAATTTGTAAGTTTTCATTACTTATTGTCAATAACAAGAAAACGAACTTTTACCTATTTCATTAGATTGTGCCACAAGCAAAGTTTACCCACAAGGTACAAGTTTACAAGGTGAAATAAATATTTAATTTTCTTGTATAAAAAAAGTTTGACGAATTTCTCTATAGACTTGCTATACACCACTTTTGTTTTAGACACATATATTTTGTTTTGGTATTACAATGCCTACTTTGAACTAACTGATACAAAATTCTGGCAAGTATGTATTGAATATTCTAGCCATCAAATTTTATGCCATGTATACTATATTTCACATGACTGCAAAAATTTTAAACAAAATTGCTGATCTGTCGCAATTAAAAAAAAAATAATCACAAGGCTACCGACCCGAGACGTTTTGCACAAGGACCGCATACCGGGTGAGTTCCCCGGTCCCCCGGCAAGAAGAAGGTGGGGTGACGGGGCGGAATAAATTTGTACTCCGGGCGTCGAAAAAATGTAAAGTTCGCCATGGGCGGTCGTTTTTACCGTAGAAAATCCGAATAAGCCGATGTCAAGGGTCGTAAATACATTAGCGAGGCCCTTTTCACGTGAGTGCCAGGTTGTCGGTTTTCTCTCTCGGTGATATTATTACGGATGGCAGGACCAGGGACGGATTATTACAGAAACGGACACGTAATTTTGATCTGCTGATGGGTTCATTTGAAATTTGAACTCGGTCGGTGACCAACTAATATACAGGATCCGTTTCAACAATAGGCTTTTCATTGAACAAAACAGAGTAAACAGAAAATAAGCTCGAAGTGCTCAGAATATGTTAGAAGTGATGCATATCATATATTATTATTATTATTATTATTATTGTGAGCAACATAAAGCGGTCTAAACCGATAAGCCTATTGCATACACTTTGGTGATATTTGGACATAAGGGATTAGGGTTACATGTTACATGTGTGGGTAAGTTGATTTCTTAAGTTGTCCATTTCCTTATCCAGCGCGTTCTTGAAGCCGTTGACAGTTGGTGCATTAACAGTAGATTCCTGAAGGCTGCTCCATCTATATACAAGTATATTGCTCAAAAAAAAAAAATCTCAAAAAGCAGAGCAGATCTTTCCTTGTTGAGTTTCTTTGAGTGGTAGCGTAGTTCTCGTGTATGGGAAATTTGGAAGAGTGTCAGATCGATTTTTGGGCTGAAATAACCCGTTAGTATTTACTTTGAAGGTTTCAATGAGATCAGATTTTTCTCGCCTTTCTCTTAATGTACTTAGTCCGAATATTTCAAGGCGTTCACGGTATGGTAGATGGCTCACTTCTGGAGGTATCTTGGTGATTCTCCTTTGGACTCGTTCGATAATATCTATGTCTTTTATATAGTAGGGACTCCACACAGCTTGGGCATATTCCAGCTTAGGACGCACAAAGGTTTTATAAAGGCTTTTTATCATTTCCACAGAGTGGTCACTAAAAGCTCTTACTTACTTAAGTACACTAGGATGTTAGCTTTTTTAGTCATGCACGTCTCTTTGTTGGTTGACTTCTGTGACTACGCATGTTCCAATTGTATACTTACTCAATTTTTGGGTTATTTCTACCGATGTGCAAAACAGTGCACTTGCTCTCGTTGAGGCGCAGTATCCATTTGTTGGCCCAATGAAACAAGCTGCGGAGATCTTCTTTCAGTTTCTGAGTGCCATGGGTTGAATTCCAGTAAAGCTTTGTATCGTCACCAAAGTACGTGATACCAGACTGAAGTTCACTTCCTATGTCACTGATGATGAACAAAGGGCTCAAGACAGAGCCCTGGGGCACCCTAGTCAATGCTTTGTGCTGCTCAGATAATGCCCCATTTGCTCTCACTGTGAACGTTCTGCCTTGCAAGTAACTGGAGATCCATCGCAGTAAGCTACGTCATCAACATCCCCTCCACTATCCACTTCTTTTGTCCACTTGTTCAAACACAAAAGCAGGTTTGTGGAGGTGGATCGTCCTGGTAGAAATCCATGTTGGTCTGCTGAAATAACGTCATTTTCCAGAGCAAAATCCTTGATTTTATCGTCCACAACCCTCTTCATTGACTTACATTAAGTGCATGCTAAACTTATAAGACGATAATTTCCAGGGGTGTGTTTGTCTCCCTTCTTGTAGATAGGCGTTATGGGCCGTCGTCCACTCGTTTGGCACTCTTCCATTAATTTATACTGGCTGCTGTTTTATTCAAAAATATCGCTGGAATATTATCAGGACCAGCAGGCTGGAGTCTATTTTAAGATTTTTTAAAACTTTGATTTTTTTGATTCGACTGATGTTATTTGGGCAACTGAACGTTCACTTCTTAGTCTTTGGAAATTTTGCACTGTTTCTCTGGTGAAGACTTTCTCAAATTGACTAGCTAAGGTTTCTGAAGTCTGCTTTAAATCTCCAATTATTATATCTCCGGTATCTTGGTCTTTTAGAACAATAAATGTAGAGTTTGAATTGAGTGTTCTTTTTATGTAGGAATAGAATTGTTTATCAGATCTTGTGAACAAACCGTGTTCATATTGTTGCTTTGCCTATGGCAGTATATTTCTCAGTAGGTTATTTTGAGTTTAATGTTCCTGGTAAGACTGGGGAGTTTATTTGTCTATAATTTAAGGTACTCCAAAAGTTCTATGTTGGTTTTTATAGGTGTGTCTTGTGGTCTGTATATGCATGCTAAAGAGAGCTTGTATTGTGAGTGTGATATCCAATAAAATCGCATCATGCATATAAAAATTAGATGTTACTTGTTGCCGGAAGGGAACAAATGAGAGATAGAATAATTTTCCTCATACGTTCCTCGTCGTAGCTTTGTCACTTCTTTGTCTACTTTTTCGTAGAACGCTTTGTGTAATTTTCCCAGTTCATTAAGGATTGTATAATTGAGCTGGTCCTGTAACTCTACAAATTTTTGATCTGCATACTGCTTCGTGACGGCTTCGTTACTTTTTCGCGGGTCTAAAATATTAGTTAAATACTTCCCATTTAAGTCGTATCCTCCTCCCTCAGATGAAACTTTAATTTCATTATTTTTCAAATCAGCAAATAATTTTTCTAATTCATAAACTCGCTGCTCGGTATTGTAGTTTAGTAGGTCGACATACTGCTTTGTAACTGCTCCATAGATTTTTCCATGTCGAAAATCCGAACTTCTGCATTGTAATTCAAAATGTCTTTTGTTCTAAGAGAGATTGGGACAGTAAATGACCAGATTCCTCAAGCTAAGTTCTTTGGGGTTCTTTTTGACCCAAAAGCACAATGAGGTAGCCTCGAAGCTAAACAGAAATCTGTATCTGCTACGTCGGTCGTCTCGCAAAAAATGTATCACCCATGGTATTAAGAACTGCTTATTTTGCAACTTTTCAGACACAACTTTCCTATGCTGTACTTGTATGAGGTCATGCCTCAGGTGCTCAACGTTGGTTTGGATTGAAGAGAAAGGCAATGAGGGTGGTGAGCAGTTTGGGTTAATGGGATGAGTGCAGAGCAACTTTCAAACAGGATATTTTTTTTGACGTATGAACCATCGTCGCCAAAAGTAACTGGGACAGCATCACATTAGCTCTTGTCCTATTATATGAATTTTATTGTCAAACTATGAATCATAGTTGGAATGAATGACAGTACAAATTAGTCCAGGAAATTATTATGCATTATTTGTGTCCCAGATACTTTTGGTGACGATGGTACATTGCTTCTTTGTGATCTCAACATGAAATAAAGAATTTGAATTTGAATGAGAAAATCTTTAAGAAACATCTAAGCCCTTTTGAAAAAATACAAATGATAAACTGACATGGAGCAATCATAATAATACAAATTAACAAACAATACATTAAACATTGAACAGCTAAGAACAAATCACATTTGTGAAGTGTATACTTACTACAAAATTTGACCAAAACTAACCTAAAATTAAAATTGAGCATGTAAGTAAGACAAATAGGAACTTATTTAGAAATGTACTGGTGCGAACAAAACCACCATTACATGGCAGCATAATTCTCTAAAACAAACAAGGGTCTAGGCATGTTAAAGCTGTAAATTGAGTCGCCCAATTTTTCCAAGCGTGCCACTACCCAATTTGTCAACAATAAAGCTCGCATCTTAACAATGCACACGTTCGGGGGCCTCGGTTTTTTAATCGCTCGCCCCACATTTGGCAGACGGCGTTTCTCCCAACCGTTTTCAGGCATGCACAACAACCCCATAACGCGGTCGCGCTCCATAAATACAGCGTACGCGATCAATTAGCTCCCTAATTGGGGAAATTTCTAATTACGATGTCATAATATGTGCATTCGGGCGCCAATCGATTTATTATTCCCAACATGCTTTTATAGGACCTTAAAAATGTCCCTTGTTTATTACTTCATTTGGTTTTATTAGTAACGACCTAGGCAAAAAACTTATTAAGATTTTTTGTAAAATGTCTAGACAATCAATGCCTGGAGATCGGGAAATCTCTCTCAGGTTGATGCACCGTAGCTCTGAGATTTTTGGGGGCAGAGCTTAGTACCGTACAAACTACTACTATGATTGACTTAAAACTTAAAATTTCGCACTTCTTTACTTTTGAATGCGCTTTAATAAATATTTTTCTAATTTGTTTCAGATATTCTATGAATCTCCCAAAGCAAACTTGCCTCAGAACGAGGTGAAACCCGAAAATGACGTCACATTTCGTTACTCCTAACAACAAAATGACGACTAGCAGCTGCGCAAGGCGACTCAAGCCGCTTGAAATTAACGAGTGCCGCTTGAGCGTTTGCGAGTCGAGACGTTCGAAACGTTGCCACGGCCGAAACAGAGAAACGAGTCAGCAAACAGCAATCCTCGAAGTCAGCACGTCGCAAAATAACAATGACGTAATAAGTGCAAGACAGGACGCTTTGACGGTGAAAAGTGACTATGCGCGGCGTAACAATGCCATCAGTGATGGACAACAACAATTAGAACCTAAAAATGTCTGTGATCGTTTATTTAAAGACTGTAACTTAGCGTTTAGTTTAGCGTTATCGGTATCGTGTAAGTTATTCGTGTGCCTATACTCTCTAATGTGCGCCAGGGGCCGCAAGTCAATTTTCGACAAGGCGTTATTTTTAACGTTAACGCTCGCGGTGCTCGGTAGCGTTAACGGATGGGCGAACGAGCTGGAAAAAACCGAACAGTTTTTGGACAAAATCAATTTGGAGCAAAGCATCGCGGCGGTGTTTAATAAAGTGGCGTACGGGAGTACTACCAAGAGGAGTATACCAGATAACTCGTATCCTGTGACGACGATGGCGACTATGCTACTGACAACTTTTAGGTAAGAATCTATGTCATTTATTTTCGTCTTCATCCTTCTCCTCTTCTACATCTATACTATACTTTCACTAAGATCCATATGATTTCATCCATGCCATTCTTCATCTACCAACAGTACTTAGGTACTTGCTTTCCAGAGTTTTTAGAAGCTATGTTTTTGAATAATAAATGTCTTCTAGATCCATGTTCATTGATTGATTGATTGATTTGATATACAGCAGCAAGGCAAGATTAAGTGATTCCCTGACACTGCAGCTATTTAGGTTATTGTATCCCTTGCTGTGTAAGTTTTTGCTAAAATAGGTTCGCCAGATGCAGTAGCCTCTTTATTGACGTCTTTAGGGGACCCTCTTCCTGAATGGGCTCCTCTTCCAGAACGTGTCGGGCACTCGATAAGATGTGAGAGGCTGATTCTTTGTCCTCGTCGCACACTCTACAGATGAGTTCATCTTAGTAGATACCCATCTTGTATTAGTGTTTTTTCAGTGTACATTGATCGGACAAGAGTCCTGTCTAAAGTGAGCTTTAGGATCTCACAGGCTAATCTTGCCGTAAGATATTCCACCATTGTCTTAGTGTGGTGTTGCCTCGGTGTTTGATTATCAGTAGTTTTTGTGTTCCTCTCGGATCCACTTTTCTGAGCAGCTATACGTATGGAGGTTTTTGATGTTCAGAGTACCGGTTCAGGACCCAGAAATTGCCTTTCTGATCTTTACCTGGCTAAGAAGTAGGCGTTTTTATTGCCGGCAAGGCTTGTGTGCCTCGGCACCCACATAAGTTACCTTATTACGGCTGGCTAGGGTTAAAAGTGGTTGAAGGCAGTCCCACACTAATTTTGAGTTTATCTGTTGGCATGCTAGAGCTTTAATAGCTGCTTGGCTGTTTGAAAAGATCGTTATATCCTTGTGTGCATACCCCCTTTTCAGATTTTTCAGCAAACATATCTCTCGACATATCTATTGAGGAAGCTTGTGGTAGTAATAAAACAACTCTTTCTTCGGTGTGCTTCAATAAACTTCTTTAATATGGAAAAAGACAATGGAGCTAAATATGTGCTGCTCTAGATTTTTAACAAATTAATGACACACACTATTTATTGTTGTTGTCATGACACATTTCACTTTTTTTTACTTTCAATTATTTCTCAGCACCAACTTAAACATAAAAGTTTTAACTTTTAACCATGCTTAATTCAGCATAAAACTTCTCGGTTTTTCAAATGTCAATTTAGTTAAAGGTTTAGTCAAGATATCTGCAATTTGTTCACTGCTTGCAACATATTTTAATTCTATGATTTCTTCCTTGATCTTGTCTTTAACAAAATGGTACTTTATATCTAAGTACTTAATTCTTTTCAGTTGCTCATGTGAGCTGCAGGAACGAATTGCAGATTGGTTGTCTTCGTAAATAATTACTTTAAATTCATTTACCAGCCTTAGATCTAACAACATATTACGTAACCAACAAACTTCACTTACACAAAAACTTAAGGCTATGATTTCAGCCTCTGTGGTTGAGATGGCGACAGTACTCTACTTTTTCGAGTTCCAAGATACAATATTGTCATAGACATAGAGACAAAAGCCACTTGTTGATTTCCGGTCAGTAGTATCGCCACCCCAATATGCATCAGCAAATCCTAAAAGAGGTCTGTCGCTTCTTTTTTTATAGACCAACTTAAGTTCAAGTGTTCCCCTAATATATATCAAGACTCTTTTCAATGAAACAAATAATTTTTCACTGGCACAGCTTTGATATCTTGACAATGAGCTAATACTTGAACATAAGTCCGGCCTGGTTCCAAGCATAGCGTACATTATACTACCTATAATTTGTCTACATTTGTTTTCAATGTCATAGTTTTCAGATTTATCAACCTTCAAAGAGTCATAATCAACGTTAAAATCCATTGGTGTACCTACAGGTTTACACTCAGACATGCCAAACTTTTCCAAAACGTCCTTCAAATACTGTTTTTGACTTAAAATAATCGTCCCATTGATCATGTCTTGTTGTACAGAAATGCCTAAGAAATAATGCATTAAACCTAGGTCTTTCATTTTGAAGCATCTGCTCAAATTAAACTTCAAGCACTGAATTTCTTTGAGACATGAACCGCTAATTAGAATGTCGTCTACAAAAATAATTACATATAATGTTACATCCTCAGTATTTCTGAAATATAAACAATTGTCACATTTATTCTTTTCGAACCCCTGATTTGTCATAAAGTTGTCAAATTTTTGGTACCAGTAGAGTTGTGCCTTCTTTAGCTCATATATTGCTTTATTAAGTTTACAAACCTTCCCATCTGTTTGACAACCTTGTGGCAAATACATATACAAATTTTCTTTCAGTTCTCCATGTAGAAAAGCATTACATACATCCATCTGATAGACGTTCCAGCATTTGTGAACACACACAGCCAAAAAAGTTCTTATAGTGGTTAACCTGACAACCAGACTATATACGTTTTCAAAAACGGTTTGTTTAAATCCCCGTGCTACTAGTCTACATTTAAATTTACTTATCTTACCTTCCTTGTCCTTCTTGACTTTGAAAATCCATTTACTTTACATTTTTCTGGTTTTTCTATCAAACTGCCATGTGTCATTCTCTATTAAGGCGTTCATTTCTTCGTTTATTGCTTCCTTCCATCTACTCGCAAACTTACTTTCCATCGCCTCTTTGTATGTTATGAGTTCATCTATGTCCAAACAGAAAAAAACTCATATCATAATCGTCCAACAGATATTGTGGCCTTTTCAAAATATTAGGTCTCAATCTTACATTTCTCTCGATTGGAGGTGTTTGATTTAATACTGGTTCTTCATCAGGTTCTTCTAAGACACTCAATTCATCTCGAAATTCATCTATAACCCTTGGAGGTTCTTCTATTATATTTTCAACAATATCTTCTTCAGTGCTCTCTGAGGTGTTTTTTGTCAATTTTAGTCCCAAAGTAATAACTTTTTCTTGTGATTTTTCTTCTACTGTAAATGTTATTTCTCTCTCTATAGCAACTTTTTTTTCTTTCTCATAATATACTTTATATCCTTTGTAACACTTTTATTTTACGTAAGAAAAATCAATTACCAAAATGTAACCTTATTTGGATTGCAACCTTAGTTCAACAGAGTTTGTTAAAGTGTCCACATGCCCGGTTCGTGGATTCGTGCGCCACCAATTTTTGAGACTAAATCGGAAAAGTCCTGCGATGACTGCAGGTTGAACTAAAGTACAAACCAAATTATTATGCCTGAAATGTAAGAAAATAATTGGATAAGCAAAAGGTAATTGGCAATACAACAAAATCAGTATCTATTTATTGAATATTAAGTATTGATTTAGTACAAGTTATGGTGATTAAATAACGATTATGACCAGTATTCAGAGGCTAGTATGACGACTAGCAGGAATAAAGAACCTAAAGGCTTCCTCATAGTCAGATTTAAGAAAACTGTCTGTCGGTATTGATATGTATGAATACTTATGTAAGCAGAGAGCTATACTTAAAACTAAAATAACCAATAAGTGCGAATTAACACACACCCAGCGTCAGTGATCACTCCGCGAATAAATGGGGTCAAATGTTTACTTAAATGTGAGTAACTAAAGTTACCTAAGCCATATACGATATTTTTAAATAATTAATAAAAAAAAAACACTAAACTACTTAGCTTTATGTCGACAATTAACAATGGGTCTGGGATTTCACACTCGTACCAGATGATCTATCTCATCAATGAAAACTAGTTCGCCGAGTCTTTGCTATTCAGATACAGTGGTGGGTACTGCATACCATCAAAACATCCACTGAGTTGCGTTATCGAAAACGGTAGCATAAAACCGTACCATAAGACCCTAAAGAAAGCACCAATGAGTAAATAAATTACCCTTAAATCCCCATTGAAATTATGCCACTTGGGATATGAAATTGTACGCTTCAATTCCCAAGTTTTAACCCATTTACTAAATATAATGAGTTCAATTCATTAAATAAGTTGCATTGCCAAAAAAATATTAAAATAAAAAAAAACTATAAGTCTACCAATCAATGTGGCATAGAATGGTCCCCCAATAAAACATTAAAATGGAAAATTGCCATTATAATTACCTCGTGGATTTTTGAGGGTCAAAGCTCAAAGGTTGAAGGTGAACGGAAGGTCATGGAACTCTAATTTCACCTACGCTGGCTGATCCAATTTGGAAGTTCACAATAACGAGCAACAATAAAATCAAGGCTCTAAGAGTCTAGGCTCAAACAATTCAATCCAAGCGACGTGATGTGATATTCTATTGTGAGAATAGAACTAATTAATTTACAATAAAACAAATTCACAAAATGGTGGACTTACCGACTAGAAGAAATAGATAAATCCCTTAGAAAGGTGATTTGGCTGCCAAAAGGTAACAAAAACCAAAACTAGACTGGCAAAACCAAAATTGAAATTATCTGGATGACCTGATCCTAATTAAATAGAGAAAATCACTTAATTTTCTTTATGGTCAACCGGATAAAAAAACTATTCTTCAGGCCAAAGCCAAAGTGTTCTTGTCGCTGGACGAAATGGAAAAGACCGTTGTACGATTTTTGGGACCCTAAACCAGAAATTTCTAGGCACTAACTTTTTTTTATGTTACATTTTTTTCTATCGAATTCCACATTCCACACTTTAGGAAGGATTGAAAGATAACGACAAAGATATCGATAGTCGTCAGCGAAACCTCCAAAGAGACTCAACAAATGGGACCGAATCAATCCACACTAATCAGGAAAACACTATTCTCATTAAAATCTATAAATAACTTCACTTATTAAATAATATTGTCCATACCTTCTCTGACACGACACCAATTATATCGACATGTATTGAAAAACCCAACCCTACGCGACCAAAACCAAAGTACCAGCAAATTGATCGATATAGGTACTCGATAACAGGTAGATAAAAGAAACGAAATCCTCCAGTAAGAGAGAGACAGAGAGGGAGTGAAAAC